AGCTCTAAAACCTCGTTCGGGCATAGCATCGTTCGATATTTCGCGCCGGCGCATTACGTACCGGTTTTGCATAGAAATTTTCAAACGATATCTATCGATATTAGGACGAGCGATGGAGTGAATCCGCCATTCGCTCTTGGCTCTCTGATCTGTACGTTACACTTTAAAAATAACCGCTAATCATGTCGATGTATCTACATTACTACAACGAGCAAGTAGGCGGGGGCATTCGTAATATATACGTCGGTGCACCGAGGCAGCGTGGACGCGGTGTGGGGGCGTGGTTAGGCGGCTTATTTCGTACGATATTACCTTATGTTCGTAGCGGCGTAAAAGCGGTAGGGAAAGAGGCCGGAAGAGCGGGTGTTCAAATTTTAAGCGATGTATCGCGAGGTGATATGTCGCTGCGCGATTCCGTTCGCGTGCGCTCGAGAGAGTCCGCGCGGAAGCTAACCAAGAAGGCGAGCGAAAAATTAAGCGAAATCATGAAAGGTCGCGGGTATAAAGGACGACGTGGAAACGGCATCGGTCAGTCGAAGAAGAAACGTCCGTCGGTGCGGAGGGTCAAAAATAAAGCGATCAAGCGAAGAAAATTGAAAAGAGTCAAAAGGAAAGCACCCAAGAAGAAGAATAATAAGAAAAAACGGGACGTTTCGGATATATTTTCGTAAAAAATGGCGTTTCTGCACTCGCACTCGTCCGAGTGCATGACGAGCTCGCTCGATTTATTCAGCCTGCCCCCCACTCAAACATCGATAGAGAGCAGTAACTACGTACATTTCAAGCCTATATCATCGCTCTCCGCAGAGAATGACGCACCGATCGAGTTCGTCGTCCCGGCCGCAAGCGACTACTATTTAGACTTGGCTCATACGATGCTACATGTCAAGGTTAAAATCGGACCTCTGCAGGATGCCGCTGCAGATAATCTAAGAGTTGGGCCCGTCAATAACTTTCTTCATTCCATCTGGGCCGGTATCGAAATTTTTTTCAATCAAAAATTAGTGTCATCGTGCAATAGCTTATATCCATACAGAGCTTACATCGAAACTCTGTTGAACTACAACGACGACGCGAAAAAGTCGCATTTAACATCGACTCTATGGTACGTGGATCAGAGCGGAAGATTCGAAGCCGCGCCCGAATTGAGAAACGGTGATCAAGCGAACAACGGCCTCCTACAAAGACAATCGTACACGCTCAATTCCGCGCCGCTCGATATGATCGGGCATTTACACTGCGATGTCTTTAACCCATTAACGCGCAAAAGTGCAATTTTGTGCATGAATTTTCCGTTGTAAAAAAATTATAGATAAACTTAAAATATTTTCTTGAAAATCCATACCCAGGGGTTTTTGAGTATGCTCTTTCAGTATCCGGTGTTATTTTTACGATAAATAAACATTATCATCGTTTATTTTGCCATTAAAAACAAAAAACGTGATTTTTTGACTCAAAATTTTTTTTCAAAGTCGATTTTCTACCTTGCCTTGCCTTCGGAGGGTTCCCATAACACCAGAAATCGTGCACTTTTTCTCTGAACCTTCAAAAAATGCGCTTCCGCGATTTTTATCTAGTCCCTATAATTTCTAAAATGGCGAATTTATACCGAGCAGCGATATGAAAATTGCCTTATTTTTTATTTGTAAATTATTGACTTTATAAAAGAAAGCCATTCATTGAAAAGTGTTCAAATTTGTTCAAAGAATACATGTGAATTTTTTTTA